CAATGGTCTAAAGATAGTTTACTCAATCAACCGCGTTCGGAAAACTGGGCAGATACGTGCAGGAAAATGAAACTAGACCTCCTTCTTACACCACACACTAGAATAAATTCAAAATGGATCAAAGACTTAAATGTTTGGCCCAAAACGATAAAAATAGTAGAAGAAAACACAGGCAGCAAAATATCGGACATAGCTCGTAGCAATATTTTATTGGTATACCTCCCTAGGCGAGGGAAACAAAAGGAAAAAATAAACTAATGGGACTTCATGAAACTAAAAAGTTTTGCACAGCAAAGGAAATCATCAACAAAATAAAAAGACAACCCACAGAATGGAAGAACATATTCGCCGATACGTCTGATAAGAGGTTAATATCCAAAATTTATGAAGTACTGACAAAACTCAACACCAAAAAAACAAACAACCCAATTAAAAAAACAGGCAAAGGACATGAATAGATACTTCTCTGAGGAGGACATACAGATGGACAACAGACACAGGAAAATGATGCTCAACGTCACTAACCATCGGAGAAATGCAGACGAAAACCACGTTGAGATACCCCTCACACTGGTGAGAATACCTATCGTCAATAAATCAACAAACAGCAAGTGCTGGTGGGGGTGTGGAGAAAGGGGAACCCCTCTGCACTGCTGGTGGGAATAAGGTTGGTGCAGCCACTGTGGAAAACAGTATGGAGATACCTCAAAAAATTAAAAACGGACCTGCCTTTTGACCCAGCAATCCCACTGCTGGGACTATATCCAAAGGAACCCAAAACACTAATTCGAAAGATCATAAGCACCCCTATATTCACTGCAGCATTACTTACAATCGCCAAGATATGGAAGCAGTCCAAGTATCCATCAGTAGATGAGTGGATAAAACAACTATGGGACTTTTACACAATGGAATACTACTCAGCTGTAAAAAAAGAAGAAAATTTTACCCTTTGCAACAGAATGGATGGACCTGGAGAACATTATGCTAAGTGAAATAAGGCAGTCAGTGAAAGACAAATACCGTATGACTTCACTCACATGTGGAATCCAATGAACAAAATGAACTGACAAGGAAAATGGGGACTGACTCACAGATGGAGAGTAGGATGATGGCTAGTGGAGAGAGGAGAGGCGAGGAAATGGAGGGTCTGAGAAAAAAGGAAAAAGACTCCTAGGGATGGACAACAGTGTGGTGATTGCTGGGGGAGGTGAGTGTAAGAGGACTAAATGGTAATCAGAAAAAAAAAATACAATAAAGATTAGATTTTCAAATGGGCAAAGGGCCTGAATAGACACTGCTCCCAAGAATACATACAAATGGCCAATAGGTATGTGAAAAATGCTCAACTTCACTAGCTATTATAGAAATTCAATTCAAAATCACATTGAGATACCACCTCACACCTGTCAGAATGAGTATCAACAACAAGACAGGTAATAACAAGTGTTGGAGAGGGTGTGGAGAAAAAAAAAACCTTCATTCACTGCTGGTGGGAATGTAAACTGGTACAGCTACTACAGAAATCAGTATGGCGGCTCCAGAAACAATGAAGAATAGAGTTACTATAGGATACAGCAAACCCTCTTCTGGGTAAGTACCCAAAAAATTTGAAAACCTTTATTTGCAAAGATATACCCCTATTTTCATTGCAGCATTATTCACGGTGGCCAAGACATGGAAACAACCAAATTGCCCTCTGATAGATGACTGGCTAAAGAAGATGTGGGGGGTGTGTGTACACACACACACACACACACACACACACACACACGAATATTATTCAGCCATAAGAAACGGTGAAGTATTGCCATGTGTGATAACTTGGATGGACCTTGAGAATACTATGCTAAGCAAAATAAGTCAGTCAGATTTCACTCATATGTGGGACTTAAAACTGAAATTCAGACACAGACAACAGTATGGTATTTACCAGAGGGAAAGAGGGAGGGATAGTAAACGGTAAAGCGGGCCAAATACATAGTGATAGAAGATGGTTTGACTTTGGGGGATGGGCACGCAATGCAATATACAGATCATGTATCATGGAAATGTACACTTGAAACCTATATAATCTTATTAACCAATATAACCCAATTAATTTTTTTAAGAAGAAAAAGTATTAGAAGACTTGGAAAAGAGATCCAGAAGAGATTCAACATGTGAACAACGGTAATTCCTGAAAGCATTAAGAGAATAGAGGGAAGGTACTGTAATATTGAAGAAATAACAGGTAAGAATTTCACTGATCTAAAAAACATGGGTCCACAGACTTTAAGGGCTCAAAGTTGCTTTCAAAACTCACTCCCGTATCTCAAAATGTTAAGGATTTCTCTTTGAGAATGCAAAAATTTATCACATATAAGACTTGACTTAAATGACTAAGAAATATATTCTAGAGGATAAAAGGTATAAATTTGAAGAGTGGGATGCAAGAAACACATTAAAAAAAAGAAATTAGAACATACTGAGTAAAAATCCTTATATGAAAAATTCAAGTACTTATTTATGAAGCTGAGAGGAGAAAAAGATAGGATACAGAAGTATTTCACAATCTTTGTCTTGTGCAAGGCATAGATATAAATATTGTAATTACACATTGTTACAAACATACTTTGAAGTATGCACCTACAAATTTTAAGGGTGGTCACTAAAAACACTAAAATATGTAACTCTGGAGTTACTGGGTAGGGGAGAGAAGAAAACTTGATGAAGGCAACAAAATAAAGAAATGATATGATAAATATAGAGCATAACTTACAAAATGGCAGTAGTTTCACCTAAGCATATCAGTAATCAAAATAAAATGTGGCAGTGATAGTATTAGACAACATAGGACATAATGTGAAACTCACTAAATGAGACAAAAACAATGCATATTGATTTTTAAAACAATGCTTAAAGATTTACAGATACCCAATAACATATTTTCAGAATATATAAAACAAAAATTGAAATTAACAAGGAAAAACTGAGAAGTTAACACACTCAGAAGTTTCTCAAAAGTCGCCTACTTTTTAATTCATACTTACCACACTTAATCACAAAATCTATCTGAAATGTCTTTAAAGAAATACTGGTTGGCCAAAAAGTCCGTTTAGTTTTTTTCTGTAAAATAAAAGATACATTTTTCATTTTTGCCAATAACTTTATTGATTTGGATATTTTTATTATGTAGGCTATCTCCAGCATGGTATAAAGTTGACTGTCCTCAGTTTATTGTCTCAATAAATCAGATCAGATTGTCGCAACTTGATCACTATCAACTTCAACTGGTCTACCCAACCACCTATCATTGTCTAGCAAGAAATCTCCAATACTAAGTTTCAAAAACCACTTTGACATGTTCAATCAGTCACAGCACCTTCTCCATACACTGAATAAATCTCTTTTTGCGTTTCAGTTGCGTCTTCACCTTTCTTGAAATAAGAAAGAATAATATGCTGAAAATGTTGCGTATTTTCTTCCATCTTCAACGTTAAAATGGCTACACAAAAATTCATCAATTTTGATTAAGTCTTTTTTTAAAAAATGCAGGCTGATATGACAGCTGTCACAATATAATCTAACAAATTCTTTCGAATCAAGTTAAAGACAATTAAACACTACTGGAACCATCTTACGGAAAAAACCAAACAAACCTTTTGGCCAACCGAATCCATTAGTAAGAAATCAGCTGTCTAGTTCACTAGAATTGGTCTAGTTCACTAGAAAGGTACCAGAGATAGACAATGAAAACTCTTTTCCTAACAGAGGCACCATAAAATAAACTTGAAAATAAATGTTACAATTTAAGAAATATTACTGGCTTCAAAAAAAGTGAGATCCATGAAGGAAAGGAACAAACAAATCACATTAGTCAAGGAACATTTTATGCTTCACATATCATGGGAAAGATGTAGAGTATGGGATTTAGTACATAAGCTTTGGAGTCCAACAAACCTGAAGGAGTACTAACTCATTCTGTTACAAAATTGAGGTAAATATATTATTAAGCTCCAAGTCTTAGCTTCCACATTAATTAAGTGGGTAGAATAGTTTCTAGCCCCATAAATCAAAATGATAAAATGAAATAATAACTGGCACAGAGGGCTCAAAACTGATAGTTACTACTGTCATTATTAAATTATACTTGGGATACAAGGTGTGAGAAATTGGGTAATATCCTTGGTATTGTCTAGTATCTGTATTACAAGTGCTTTTAAAATCAAATGGGCAATATTTTTCATTTACTTTTCACAATTCTGGTTTTCGGTTCTCAATAACTAGTTGTCATTTTTTTAATTAAAATAAGGATTGCTAATTTTGGAATGATTAATTTTAGGCTGAGAGAACAGAGGTTGTTACCCTACACCACCTTAACAAGTGCTCCAAATTTCCAATCTAATGAAGAGAAAAAGATTAAGAATGGCATCAGTATTGTCATTCTCCAGTCCCAGTAATTTCTTCCCTTTTATAACTAGAAACGTTTTCTGAGAGAAAATAGTTTAAAAATCTCCAATGGAATATAATCTTGCAGTGAAATCAGAGAAGCAGTTCATACAGCTGTATCCTGGTGGCCAGGATACCCTAAGCAACCCCTTTATTATTTTATAGCTTTTACTGAATAAATGTCTTCAATATGCCTAAAAAGGTTTACTGGCAAGAAATTTTAAGTAATTAAAAGATCTTATTCATATGTTCCAAAAATATAAAGCATTTTCAAAACTACTTTTAGTTCCCAGTACTCAAAAGGATATATATGTAGAAGATACTGAAGCAGAGCCCCCCTCCATCTTACCTCCAAAATAAAAGAAGAAACATTAAGCCTGAGTTCCCTTAACACTGAATTTATTGCAATATTTACAGATGGGGAATATGAGATTAAAGCAAACACTATTTGCACATTTGTTTGTTCAAATACTGGTATAAAAATCAACTCCTTACTTGCTTCTTGTAAATTCTGTTCAACAGGCTTTCTGTGGTATTTTTAAATACAAGCTGACATGGTATTTCCTTACCTTTCCATTAGCTTCTCTTTATCCCAATTGAAGTGGCTAAGGAGTATTCTTGTGATAGTTGCTGGATTCTAAAGAAGGGGGGGGAAAAAAGTCATTTTAGGGTAACAGCACTTCATTGACATTTAGTGAATGTTCAGGTTTAATTTATAACATCCCACTTAAATCTCCTTTCCTAAGACATTTCTTTTTCCCCCTAAAAAAAAAAATACAAATTTTTAATTGTAAGATCAAGACAATAGTAAGCCACACAAACAAGGCAGGTCTCTATAGGATTCTAAAGCAGAATTCAAAATAAGACAGAAAGGGATTAAATGAAAAATTACTGCATTAAATGAAGCACTAATTAAAATTAACTTTTTTGCAATTTTAACATCTGCCAATCAGCACACTATTAATCAATAAAATTTCTAACACCTTATATATTGAACAGTTCAAATAATCCCAAACCATTTTCAAGTCAGAAATTCCTTCGAAGACATTTAATGAAAAATGACCAAAAAATCTGTTCCATGTAATAATTTATGGAATATAATTTTAAATTGGTATTTCATTTCTAGAAGAAAAGGCTAATGCCATGAAATAAAAACTTACTGCCCTATCATTCAATGCTGTCACAAATTTTTCCATTTCCCATGAAACTAGTGAGGTTACTATCTGGGTACAGAATTTTAACTTAAAATGTAATGGTGCCTGAAAGATAAGCCAAGCCTGACTGGCTCAAAGATACTATTGCTAGTTACAATATCAGAGTCTACTTATTTGTATTTCACGTATAACTGTATTACATCAAATAACATTTCAAAACAGGTCTCTGTGCATAACACTACTTTTATTTCACCATAGTTAGCCTAAAATATTAGTTAACTACTAATTTAGTTTAAAAAGTAATCCTGTATAAAAAAGATGTCATAAAAGATCTCTACCTGTTCTTCTCAACAATACTATCTGTCACAGGAAAATACACACATATTCACACCCCACAAAAAGCCAAATATGCAGACCTGGTCATCCCCATCCACACACTACTCCAGGCATGTTTTACATTATAATCCATCTAATACTCTTTACTTCTGCGATGCAGACTTCCCAAAGAATCCTCATTTAGCTCTGGCTGGCTGGTGCGGTTGATTAGATTGTTGTCCCGTACATGGAAAGGTTGTGGGTTTGATTCCTGGTCAGGACACCTGCCTAGCTTGCGAGTTTGGACACATACCTTAGTTTGTGTGTTGGATCCCCAGTCAGGTTCTGTGTGGGAGGCAACCAACTGATGCCTGCCTGCCTGCCTGCCTGTCTCTCTCCCTCTCCCCCAACCAAAATCAATAAACACAATCTCAGGTGAGGATTTGAAAGAAAAAACAAAGAATCCTCCTTTAACACAGCACTCCAGATAAACACCACCAATCTACAATAGTTATTTAATATGTGAAAAAAAAATGTATTAACTGACCCTCAATTATGATGTGTTTATTTGTATGGAATATAGACATTGTCATGTACCCAACTTTTTCTTAGAAATGTGATTCAACACTATAAAAAAAAAAAAAAAAAAAACCTGTCAGAGTTCGGCAACAGGTTTTCACAGTAGCATTTGCCTACAATTTAAATAAAGTTATTTATTTAGATTTAGTCAATGTAAAACAAGGGCAATAATCCTATCAATTGGCAGAATTAAGTCCAGTAGTATTCACTGGAATTGTGTGACTAACTTTGTGGTACCCAATACTCTGTAAGTCTCTCCTACTAGGCAGAGTGCCTGGGGGAAAATGTTTCAGGAATTACACCTCAACTTACAAAGAGAAATATGGGAGGAGGGCAGATGCCTTCTCTGACTTTATGTTGCTGCTGTTTTTATCGTTTGTTTGAGTGCCAGTATCAAAAATCAACCCCAGCCAGGTGGAAGTTATTATGCAAAGTTGTTAAAACACAGATTCCTAGGTTCCATCCCTATATATTTATTTATTAGGTTTGGGGCAAGGCCTCCCCATCGCCAAAAGAATTCATAAAATAAGATCAGTGGTCCCCTTTCCTATTTTTAGCTCATCCTTTAAAAAACTGTGTTTGCTTAAGAATGTACATCCTATATTAGAGGTACATGCTCAAAAGTTTTCCCAGCAAGATGTTACTGAAAAAAATGTGTCTAAACCACATTGGCATGGAAATGGCAAAATATATTCTGCCAGGGCTCTGAGCTATAGAGCATGGGAAATTTCACAATAATAATTAAATATATTTGGGCCACTATTTCAGTGCAGCAGGTCATTTATGTGCATTGCTAGAAGGAAAGGTGATGGGAGAATAATTTATTGTGCATCTACTATACACCAGACCCTGTACAAAGTACTCTATACATGTCATTTAATTCTCAAAACAGTAAGGTATATATGCTACCTCCCATTTTTAAATAAGAAAACTATGACTAGGCTTCAAAAGGTTACAAAAATTTCCCAATACCGTGCAACTAATTAAGTAAAAACAGTTGTGAAATCTAGCCTAGGACACTCTGGATTTAATATTCCTTTCAATTATTCCAGGCAGTAGAACCTAAAGGAATATTAAATGTCTCATTTAACGACTAGTCACACGTCTAAATATTCTTTACATCCTCCACCAAAGGGTAATTCAGGGTAGGATGAAAAGGGAATGGCAGAATGCTAAGAGGCAAATAGAAGCTTCTAAGGGACTGAAAATGTTCTACTTTTTTAATGTGAAGGTTGATTAGATTAGGGAAAACATTTATCAAAATTCAAACTGTACACTTAAAATGGGTATACATTTAGTCATATAAAAATTATACATCAATAATGCTAACTTATTTAAAAACAAAACAATCTGACTTCTGATCCTAGCCAAGATAGAGTAATAAGTGTCTCTCTCCTCCACTGATAGCCAAAAACTCTGGACAAAATACAACTAATGAAGTACTCTGAAAATTAACTAATGGCAAGCAGATTGGGGAGGGAACTGAAGAACTACCAGTAAGGTAACAATGAGTATCCTGGGTTTTTTATCCCTTCTCCTTTATTTCCTGGTTTGACCCAAGGGTTCACCAAACAGGGAAACCAACTGTAGCAGGCATGATCAGCAAAAACTGAGACCATTATATATCGTTTTGGCCAATGGACTAAGGCAAAAGGCTCCTGGAGAATGTGGGGCAGAATAGTTTTCTCTTCTTTCTCTTGTTTCTCCCCACCCTGTGCTGAAGTCAGTCCCAGCCATGAAACTACCCTGCTGCAGACTGACCACTGAAAACCACAAGAGAAAAAACATTGCTCTCAACAGAGGAATCAGGAAGAGCAGCCCTGTTCTGAAAAGAAGCATGTGGAGAAGTCCCCTATTATTTCCTTTTTCTTTTTCTTGCCTCTTCACCTAAAGATATGACAGGCAGGAAACTATAACTGAAAGAACTCCATGCTTCTGGCTCTAGAAATGAAGAAAGGGGCCTCTGGAAGCCAGAGAGTGCAAGGAAATCACTGAGAGAGATCTGGAGCAGTAGATCCCTAATTCTGTACGTGAACCACGTCCTGGGCTCTCTTGTAAGCTGTGCATGGGTCAAACACAGCCAAAGGAGTACAAGCGAGGCTTTCAGAAGAGAACTATGATATAAATCATGGCCTAGTCCTAGACAACCTAAATGGGACTGGAAGGGGCAAAATCAACATAGTAAAGGCTTTGAAAACTGAACAGATAATGAAACCACTGCCTATATAAGTGAGAAAGAACTTGAGCTTAAAACCTCACTGGGTTGGCTTGTTTACTAAAACAAATAAAAAACCCTCATGATTCTCAAAAGGATATTGATAGGATGGAGAATCTTACAACGTAATATTCAAAATGTCCAAGACAGAATCCAAAATTATCAGACACAACAAAAACTACAACTCCGATCAATTCTCAAGGGAGAAGACAATAGATGTTGACCTCTAGATGACCCAGATGTTAGAGTTATCAAAGACTTTAAAACCTTAAAATGAATTTTAAATATTTAGGAAAGAAGAAAATTCAAATTAAAAAAACCCAGAAACTTTAGAACTAAAAAACACACAAGGTCATTGGATGGGCTCAATAGCAAAAATGAGAGGAGAAGAAAAGAGTCAACAGAAATTATCCAATCCTAACAACAGAAAAAATTTATTTAAAGAACAATTTCTCAGGGCTCTGCGAGCATAGAATTCTGTATCCAGTGCAAGTACAGTTCAGGAATGAAGGCAAAGATATTCCCAGACAAAAGAAAACTAGGAGAGCTCACTGCCAGCAGACCTGCTCTAAAGGAAATGCTACAAGAAGTTCTTTAGAAGAGAAATGATAAGAGAGGGAAACTTGGATGCTCAGGAAAGGAGAAACAACAGCAAAATCGATAAAGGGGTAAATATTAATACTATTCCTCTCCTCTTAAGTTCTTGAAAACATACATAAAACTGCTGAAACCAAAAGTTACAACATGTCATGGTGGGTAAAGGGTTAAATATCTACAGATATAACACATATGACACATATAAAGGGACTAGGGGAAAAAAAATCATCTATATAGTTGTAAGGCTTTTATGCTTTACTTGGAGAGGTAAAATACTAACTTTAAGTAGAATGTGAAGACAAATACTGTATATTATAATCCCTAGAGCAATCACTAAGACCAAGAGATATGGCTTTAAAAGCTGATATAGGAAGTGAAATATTTAAAATATTTCAATCTAAAAGAAGAAAGGAAAGGAGAAACAAAGAGAAATAATTAAGAGTTCTAAATCCAGGTACATCAACAATTACCTAAAATGTAAATAGTAAAAAAATTTAAAAGATACACTGATACATAAATATTGAAGCACTATGTTGTACACCGGAAGCTTGTCAATTATACCTCATTTTTCAAAAAGAAATGAAATGCTGCTAAATAAAATACAGAGATAACTTAAGTGTTTTTCAAAACGGCAAAACTATATGTTGTCCATAACAACCCATTTTACAACATAATAATATAGATTAAAAAGGTCAATTCACCAAGAAAATATAACAATCTTAAGTGTATGCACCTAACAAACAAAGCCTAATAAATAAAGTGAAAACTGGCAGAAAT